CTGACAGCACAGCTCATTAGCACATTAGGACGCACCTCCATGTTACCAGAAGTGTGGTTATCCAGCCACACCCACCTTTTGCTTCTTATTCTGTTGACCTTGTTTGTTGTCAAACCCAGGGCTTTTTTTGTAGCAGGAACTCCTTTGCATGTTAGGCCACACACCTCTAATGTAGCCAATCCTAATGAGTTCCTGCTGTTGGGTGTGGCCTATTATGCTAATGAGTTCCTGCTGGGCGTGGCCAACTTGGGAGCCAGCCGGAACTCCGTTCCTGTGCGTTCCTGCCCCCAAATAGCCCTGTTTGTTACAGTCTTGGTCAAACCGGCTAGGAGTAGAATTTTGTGCAACAATAACATATCTCACCACTCTTGAAGCACTTGTAAGGACGGCGAAGATGACCGCCCTCTGGGTTCCTATGGAGACAAAAGTTGGAGCAAGGAGACGGGAGCGTACTCCTATCTCTCTTTGTCCCACCTTCATGCTGCCCAGTTTTCTCCTTTTATGGTTTTCCTCCTCGCCTATCCTATTTCCCTGTTAACCAATCAGAAACTCTGACCTTTAAATTGTCTTCCAATCAGTTGGATTTGTTCATATTATCTCATCTGACTTTTAAACAAAATAGTTGTTTTTGCTAGTTCGTTCTTTTCGGGGCTTCCCATCTTTGGAGTTCCCCTTTTTCGCTAGGGTCATCTTGACCCTGTGCAATGTCCTTACGTAAGGTTTCTTGTACCAAACTTCCTAATTTGGACCTATTTAGTTCTAATGCCCGTCCTTGATTCTGGAAAACACCTTACTTCCCTGAGCATAGCTAAAACTCCCATGAACTGTAAGGCCTGTGATTACATAAGGTGTGCATAGTCTAACGTGATTGCAATATAGGTAAGGTGTACATGAATGTAAGTGAAATCTGAGTGAAAAGAAAGGATTAAAGTATTGTCCTATGCAGGATTTTTATTCAGCAATAGTAATGTCCCCTCCGCCTTCTCCCATCTTCGGACAATGTTGTATATATTTAGTTCAGTAATTATTTACTTTAAACAAGCTTAATAGGCAAAACAATTGTCCCGCCAATAAGCCATCTGGTATTTGCAGCATGAACCAGCGAAAAACTCTTCTGTGGGTCTTCTAGCAAAATGGCTTTTGCAAGTTTAACGGCCTGATCTTTTCCAGGCCTGACGCCTGAACCAATGTTTCAGGTTCATGGCTGATGAGAAGCAAGCTATATCCCTTTTCCTGAGAGGCTTTTCCGTAGATCCTTACAGCAGCCCCCAGGAGAAATTGGGGGTGGGGCTTGGCATGCCAGTGTCATGCTGGTGCACTGACATCACTTCCACCGTACCAGTGGAACGAGCTCCCGGAGGAGATCAGGGCCCTGCGGGATCTCTTGCAGTTCTGCAGGGCCTGCAAGATGGAGCTCTTCCGCCAGGCTTTCAGCTAGGGAGCTGCCACCACTATAGAGCCCTGGCCCTCGGTTTCGACATTCGGGCCTGCCGCCGCAGGAAGATCGTGAGCAGAATGACTGCTAGACCTCTGTGTGTACTCTTAAAGCAAGCCATCTCAGACAACTAATTAGCCATCACCAGCACTTTTACGAATCCATGTGAGTTATAACTGAATTGTTTTTAGATGATTTTATGTTGTTTTAATTGTATTTATGCATTGATGTCAGAACCCACAGCCAACAACGAAGTACTCGCATTCAGGAACGGTAATACTTTTATTGCAGAGCTATAGATGCAGTAACATAAGCACTGTTAAGAATGGCGGCTTCCGGTTTGGCTTCCGCGAATGGCGGACGCAACCTTGGGGCGCTCCCAAGGGCGTCTTCGCCCGCCCGTGGCCGAGGGGGGAATCCGCGTAAGCGGAGACCCGGACGAGCCCCAGGAGGGGCTCCGACTCGGGGAGCGCGAGAGAAAAGCCTCTTTCTTGACCGAATGGTCGGAAATTGAGGCTCCTCTCATGCCCCAATGAACCTCGCCGCGTCCGCGGCCCCGCACGGGCTTAGCGGAGCCGCCAGACGCCACCTGAGTGATGAAGCGAAAATGCGAATGAAAAGAAAAGGAGCGGCTGAAATTGTAAATTGTCGATAGTTACGATGAAAAGAAGCTAAGCGCGTTTCTCCCCCCCCCAGCGAAAGAGATTCTGGTTAAAAACCTGATATCTTTAGATGCGCTAGAATTTACAGCAACTCTGTGGTTACTGGGGCCGATTCCCCACAAGCGCTGCTCCACGCTCGCTCCTCTCTTTTGCCCCGATGGTACATGTCAATTTCACACAAGCTGCTGCACAGCCGCATTTTGCCCCGG